ATATTCACTAGGTTCAATTTAGCAGATTTGGTATTGCAGATATATTAACAAGGTTTGTGGATGAAACAATACATTCTACGAGTATCTTTGCATATTTAATTTAAAACTGTATTTAGCATATATACAAATTACAGCGGTCAGAAAACAAAACTTCAGCTAAGCCGTATACATTTTTTAACATTTATTACATCATTATTCAACACATATTAGTTATGAATGTACAAAAAGGTAGTAGTGATTTGACCTACCACATGTCGCACTATGTTCCCATACTGAGAAAACTGCTGGAGTAAAAATGAAGCTGCTGCTGGTGGAAACCTGAAAAACAAAAACAAAGAAAGCTTAGAAAGAACTCCCGTGTGCTGAGAGAGTATTGAAGACGCATTAAACATTTATTCAAAATTACTTGTACTTGAGATATTGATGGAATAGCTGAAAACTAATTATGTAAATCAGGTAACTGATATGAACAGATTTGAGTGTAAAACTAATAAGGCCTGCGTAATGTAATATCTATGTACCAAGTTTCATTGAAATGTGATTAGAACAAAAAAACTATGAATTATTATTAGAGAATTAATATGAACAAATTTCAACCCAAAATTAATCGGGCCTGTCTATTATTCTAGAGCATTTATGTACCAAATTTTATTCAAATGTGATGATCAGTAATTGAGATATCAGTGTTAATTATTTTAATTAGGTGATTAATAAGCATAAATATTTACCATAGTCTTAGGTTCATTGAAATGTGATGATGAATACTCTATAAAAGTTTCATTAAAATCCAATTAATGGTTCTTTATATATCAGTGGAACATTCATGGAAAAAAATAATTATGAAAATTAGGTAATTAATATCCACAATTATTTACCCTAAAACTAATCAGGTCTCTGCATAGTCCTGGAGTATCTATGTAGCAAGTCTCATTGAAATATGATGATCAGTACTTGAGTTATCAGGCGAAAAGCTGAAAATTAACTAATTATGCTAATAAGGTGATTAATATGCACAAATATTTACCCCGAAACTAATCAGGTCTCTGCACAGTTCTTAAGTAACATCATTGAAATGTGATGTTTACTACTTGAAATATCAAAAGCTGAAAATTAATTAATTATGCAAATTAGGTAATTAATATGAACTGATATTACCCTAAAAGCTATCAGGTCTGTGCAGTGTCATATGACATCTATATACCAAGTTTCATTGAAATGTGATGATTAGTACTTGAGATATCAGTGGAAAAGCTAAAAATAAGCTAATCATCATGCAAATTAGGTAATTAATATGCATGGATTTTTACCAAAACCTAATTGGCCCAGAGCATCTATGCACCAGGTTTCATCAAAAATCAATATTCTTGAGATATCAGTGGAACAGACACACACACATACGGAAACACAGACACACACATTAAACTGCAAAGACTCCCTTTTTGTGCTTTGCACACGGGAGTCAAAAATGTGCAAAAAAAAAAAAATTACAGACCATCAATGCAAGTGTTTTGTGATGCTCCTACAAATACCAGTAAATATGAAATGGACTTACCCAAAGACTGTAACCCATGTGTCGTCCAGCTGTTCTTCCTCAACAGCCTCTCTGTCAGAATAGAACAAGAAGATGTAAAGCTGAGTACAGTATTGACAAGAATATCAAGCAATCTTACACTTGGCAGGCAGTCATACACATTATATCACAAGATCTATTGACTTCATATTTGGAAAAACAAAGAGAAAAATGAGCTGCCAGAATTTCTTCATACAAGTTTTAATACAAAGTACACCACCAATCCATAACAATTTTACCCCTGTCAGGCAGAACTTGTCAGTGCTAATGTATTAACATTGAAATGTCCAAGCTAAAAATCTAGATAAGAGTACAGTATGACATATAAAAGGCGGTCAGTTATTAAACCCTATAAAAAAACAAGCCATGCATGGCACAGTCCCTGTCAGTTATCAAATTTAAGATATATAGTTTTGTTTATAGTAATATAGCTGAAATATAAACATGTCAGGAATATGATTATGATGATTGTTCAACATTAAAACAATTGACATTTGTATCTGATCGTCAAACAAGTACTTGTCAATACTGGGAGATATTGCTCTGGAACAACATTAATTCAGCCATTTTGAATACATGCATATATCTATAACATGATGTATAACGAATATATAAAATTTGAACATAATCAAGTCAAATGATGATTTTTTAGCACAAAAATGGTCGCCATTCGGCCATCTTAAATCAGATCGTGAAACAAATTGACGTGCATATATATAATATCATGTATGATGTATGTATGAAGTTTGATTATGATTCGTCCAGGCATTTCTAAGATACAGGTCCGGACGCACGCATGGACGCACAAGGGTCAAACCACAAGTCCCTGTTTTTGGACTGCGTCCGAACGGGGACTAATAAGCCAATTGTCTATATGGTTACAGACTACAATCAAGAGTGAATAGAGTACACATACTTATTTTGAAGATTTAGTCGGATGAAAAGCTGACAACACAAAGTAGTGTTATAAGAGTTCTAGATCAGAGACTCCAACTAACTTACCCTTGTGTAAAAAATGGATCGATCTGTGCTGGTGATTTGGAAGCTTTCATGTCAGAATATGGATATGTACCACTAAAACTACCACCAGCAGGACTGGCAATACCTACAAAATGAAAACAATGCATTATTAGAATAGCAGTCAGAGACATATTTACAACAGCCTCTGTAGATATTGTGGACAGTATCATCAATGTATACCAGTAGTTACCTATGATGGTACAATAACAGGTAACACTGTATAGAGACAGTTAACTCAGAAGTAACTTAGCTTGTATGGGCCTTATTTTTAGAAAACGATTGGAGAATGAGAAATGATCAATGAGCTAAAAAGACTGGTGAGCCAGAGATGACTGGTGAGCCAGAGATGACTGGTGAGCCAGAGATGACTGGTGAGATAGAAATGACTGACGAGCCAGCAATGACTGACAAGCCAGAAATGGCTGGTGAGCTAGAAATGGCTGGTGAGCTAGATAATGCTGGTGAGGGATGACTGGTGAGCTAGAAATGACTGGTGAGCGAGAAATGGCTGGTGAGCGAGAAATAGCTGGTGAACTAGAATTGGCTGGTGAGCTAGAGATGACTGGTGAGCTAGAGATGACTGGTGAGCTAGAGATGACTGGTGAGCTAGAGATGACTGGTGAGCTAGAGATGACTGGTGAGCTAGAAGATGACTGGTGAGCTAGAAGATGACTGGTGAGCTAGAAGATGACTGGTGAGCTAGAAGATGACTGGTGAGCTAGAAGATGTGTTTGACCTCCTTATGGAGTCTATGGCACACTCACCCAGGGTACAGTGGCTTTGACATTCCCATTGAGCCTATGGCACACTCACCCTGGGCACAGTAGATTTGGCTTCCCCATTGAGTCTACAGCATACTCACCCAGGGTACAGTGGCTTTGACCTTCCCATTGAGTCTATGGCACACTCACCCAGGGTACAGTGGCTTTGACATTCCCATTGAGTCTATAGCACAATCACCCAGGGTACAGTGGCTTTGACCTCCCCATTGAGTCTATAGCACAATCACCCAGGGTACAGTGGCTTTGATCTTCCCCATTGAGTCTATAGCAAAATCACCCAGGGTACAGTGGCTTTGACATTCCCATTGAGTCTATAGCACAATCACCCAGGGTACAGTGGCTTTGATCTTCCCCATTGAGTCTATAGCACAATCACCCAGGGTACAGTGGCTTTGATCTTCCCCATTGAGTCTATAGCACAATCACCCAGGGTACAGTGGCTTTGACCTTCCGCATTGAGTCTATAGCACAATCACCCAGGGTACAGTGGCTTTGACATTCCCATTGAGTCTATAGCACAATCACCCAGGGTACAGTGGCTTTGATCTTCCCCATTGAGTCTATAGCAAAATCACCCAGGGTACAGTGGCTTTGACATTCCCATTGAGTCTATAGCACAATCACCCAGGGTACAGTGGCTTTGATCTTCCCCATTGAGTCTATAGCAAAATCACCCAGGGTACAGTGGCTTTGACCTTCCGCATTGAGTCTATGACAATCAGGAATGAACAGAAAAGAATACAACACTTAGTTTTAATAGAAAAGCAACAAACGCACTTTCTTTCAATAACCCCATATTTATATATACTGTAAAACATGTCTTCAGCTAGCATGTTATTTTAGCTAATCCACAATTTTGCTAAATAAAGATGTCGCTAATTAGAATAGAGGATATTCTCACAGTAGGATTATTGGCACTTTAGCTAAATTAAGATTCAGTTAATTCATGCATTGAGTCAAATTAGCTAAAATGATATGTAGCTATTTCAAAGTGTTTTACAGTATATGCAACCAACAATATTTTAATGACAATAGAATACAAATACTGCAGTTTTATGTAAATTACCATGGATTTTTGATTGTACCTTGTCTGAGAGGAGTTCCTAGATGTACTGGTGTTCTATTCATCATACTACTTGACAACACTGATAAAGATGAAACATCACCCTAAAAAAAATTATTTAAAAATGAATTCCCACTTTTTATGAGGTGTAGAAAACATCTTAGTGATCCCCTGCAATCATCATAGAATCTTTTGATTTCAGTTTTTCAATATTTCAGGATTTTTTGCCAAAACCAACTGGTTTTATCATTTTTTATGGTGATCACAACAATTAATGGGAGGTATTCTGTATATTATACAAAGTAGGGATGCAACTAAATTGAACTTTAGATTGAAGCACCGCAGTTGTCACATAGCATGTTGAAATTGTCATGAAAACAAATCGTGCAATTTACATGTATTGTATATACACCACATGGGACAATATTAAACATGACATGGAACAATGAATGCAGTATTAAAATATAAAACATGAAAGTGTCCTCCATAGTGCACCTTAATACAAGGTACATCCTATATCCTATAAACCATCAAGACTTGTTTTCCACTCCACCATCACCAAGTGCAACTTAATAATTAGTACCAGAGACAACTTTGGAAATCAGTCTGGTAGCAATTTATGTTTTAAGAATCAAACAGAAAAAATGATACACTCAGGAAAAAATGAAAGAATATTCAACATGCAATGCATCAAGTGAAGATAAAATATTTATAGAGATTATGCCACATTTGTAATAAAAGAAGCTTGTAAACGTATATAAACAATGGTTCAGAACAAATAACTGTACAACACTATTGACACAATTTGAGGGAAATGTACAAGTATAGGAAAATCTCAATGAGCACCTGTTTCAGATCACTTGGCTGGCCAGGCTCAAACAGTGATGCTACTGGAGGTGCCCCTGACTTGTCTTTAGCACTGCCTGTCATTCCGCTGTAAAAGAAACTACACCACATTACACATGGCATGATAAACACAGCACTCTACAGTTGGTGCCATAGAGGGTGCTATTTGAAGAGATATCCTGTATAAACAGTAATACAATACTTTCATCATTATAGAGACACAATACATAGAATAATCAGCATGTCAATAATAAAAATGTTTTTATACCAGCATATTATTTCACATCTCCTTAGTTTTGTATTTTCACACAATAACACATCCGGCATAATTAGGTCTATTGTATTTGCAAGTCAATATAATTTGCAGCCATTGAGGATTATTATGAATCTAGCATTATGATTTCAATGAACAGGTATTATTATTTTTTTAATTCTTCAACCACTTCACTGCAACTGCAATTTCAATTGTCAACACTGATGTTATCTTAAGGAATTATCCATGGATTGATTTCACTTACCTAGCTGATGGTCTAGTCTGTGACCACTCGCCACTATGCTGTCTACCAACAGTTGGGCTATCTCGGAACATTCCCGGTGTTGATGACAGGGGATTGTTTCGAGACTGAGGTGGGCTGTACCCAGTTGAATGTGACCACAGTCTGGATGGCTGAATTAATATAAAATGAACAAATAATTAATGATCCCCTTATCTGTACAGGGTCAGGTGTTGCTCATATTCAAATTCATAAAATAATATGCAAAGTATATAAAAATTCAGTTGCATCTCACACACAGAATAAATCTAACTGCCATACAAATTAGTATCACAACAGAATTCTGTTTTCTTTTCACATGCAAATTGAACATGTGGTGATGCTATTTTTGTCCCAAGGTGGAATTGCTACATAGCAATACCTGATGTTTACACCACTGTGGTGATTGCTGACTGATATGAATACTTACTGAAGGTGATGTGACTGGATCTCCCATAAGATAACCAGGTAAATACTGTTGTATGTTAGAACTACTGGATGTGGGTGACCCCAAAGTCATGGGTTCTAAACCACTGTGTGAACCTGCAAGAGATGGTTTTTAATTACAATTTATTCCAATGATTCTATACAAAATTGAAGTACAGTAACCAGTGAAGATGAGAAAGCCTTTCACAGTTTTCCAATTTACAAATTTGGAAAAGAAGTACCACTGGCATGTCAATTAACGATTGGACAGATAAAATAATACTCCATGAACTGAAGGTCTTCAGATACATATTCATGGATGAATAATCACAAAGCTTACATGTATCAATAATTACAAGGGTTATGGAAAATAATGCAAGTTCAGAGACAGCATGGAGGCTATACCCACTAACATTACTGTACATTGTATATGTCACTTTATGAAATTGTACTGGATATACAGGTCTGATAGATCCAATAACAAACATTTGTGTGTTTGAATATTACATTACATGTATCGGTATATATAAGAGAGATATTCACTGGGTTTAATTAAGCAAACTTGAAATTGCATGCAATGAATTTTCAACTGCTTTTAAATTTACTTGTTTCTGAAAAATTTTTTTTTCCAAAATTAAAGAATTGCAGCAATCATGACTGATATAGGTCCATGCACGACTGTGTCCCTGTCTAAATCTTCTATACCTAATATTCATTTGATTTGGCATAATTAGCTAAATAAATAAAATAATAAATTAAACTCAACTAATAATAAAGCCCTGTGTATTACTAGTGAAAAAAAACGGCCAAATGTGATAGAAACTCTGTGTTTCTGGTAACCGAACTTACCCATTTTTTGAGAAAACCAAAAAGTGCATCTTAAGCAAATGAGCTAAAAATTATTTATTTCTATGCAAATTAGCCATGGTCATTCCACCAATATTGTAATTTTTTTTTTGTTTCATGTAATGAATGAATAGCACTTGTTTGAAGTTGTATTAAAGAAATGTATTTTGAAAACTAACTTAGATGCCATTTTTCACATCTGTAGTTAAACTACATGTCCAGACAAATACCTAAAAGAACAACTCATTGAAAAAATAAAATGAAATAATATAAAATAAAATAAAAGCCTTCCATTATTTATTTAAACCATTACTGGAAACATCAAACTGTTTTTTGTTTTTTGCTTAATAATGACAAATACATTTTTTGCTTTATGTTTTTTCCAAAAAAACAATACATGTAATTGATGTGCATTTTCTTTCATTGGGTCCTATTTTAATTTAATAACCCTTCCAGTAACAAAAGGAAACACACAAATCCATGTATTCTCAATAAATTTCATAGATTCTGTCAAACAATTACACCAGACCAAATACACTAAGGGACGACGTCAAAAGATCGATGTCGGATAAAAAACTTATTTCCTTTAGTTTGGGGGTGGAGGGTTTTGACCTCAAAAAGTTTCCATCCTACAAAAACGATTTTATTTTTTAATGAAGTTAAAAAAATCTTGGAGTATTTGTAGTTCGTTTTTTTTCTACTATCCAATCATGGATAGAAATAACCAAAAAGGAAAAAAAAAATCCAAGATGAGAAAATGGTTTGGTTCGAGTGTAAATCTGTGCGTCAAATGAGGTGCATTTGTAAAATCTTTTTACACCCATCCGACAACCAACTGCTATGCAATACTACTGTTCGATTATCAATTTGTATTTAATGGTGAATGTAGTCTAACGCCATGACCAATATTTATCAATTAAGTTTCAGTGGGGGGTAGGGGGGTTTGGAAAAAAACTAAAGGAATTAAGTTTTTTATCCGACATCGATCTTTTGACGTCGTCCCTAATACCTATCATGTTATTGGCTTGTATCATGTTTTTATAACAAGTGCAGATTGTGATTTGACAAAATAGGTAATTGAAGCACTGGGTTGACCGTGACATTGTGATTGATGGCTCACACTAAAAATAGTAGCATATTATATGATATTGGTTCATGTCAAGCGTTCAGGCAGCAAAATTTGATCCTGACTCTATTGGAACGGAGATTTTTCCGACACATGCCAATTTGGTCATGATTGTTACACACACGTTTCGACATGTGCCGACTCAGTCCTGACTCTTGGCATATGCCATGTAACTAGCCCTGAGTACAGTCCTG